CAAACTGTTGCATTAGGTGATCTTTCTTCAGCCTCACTAAACATTCCCATTAACTCTTCACTATTTATATCGTGCTGCCTTGCACATGCTACTTCCTCCTTGAGAGTCTGGTTAATAGAAAGTGAGAAATATCTCTTACATTGATGAGTTATGACGTCTCCTACTGCAATAAGACAAGCAAAAGTCATATTAATAAAGTGTTCATCAATCAAACAAAACATTTTTTATTGGATCTAAAATATTTGGTTCAAGGTCATTTTAAAAAGTGAACCTGGATTTGATTTAGAATCTGCAATTTTTAGTAAAATATTTTTTAATACCAGGATTCCACTATAATGGTCAAAATTTGCCTCCTCAACAGTCGCACAAAATTTTGTCATCCAGGCTGGAAACTGGATGACAAAGTTTTATGTGACTTTGAGGAGGTGGTTTTCCAAATAATGCAAGCACACATTTTTGCTTTAGAGCTGTTTTGTTACAAAATACTGCTCTAAGAACTTTTTGTATAGTTCTGCATATTACTGTTCCAATGGTTAAAAAATGCTCAAACTCATTAAATGTTTTATAAAAATAAAACAAGTATGAAAATAAATATGAAGACGATTTCCTCGATACCTTGGAATGATACCTTGTGGTAGTTTTTGATCATCTAAAAACTAACGAATCTTTTTGAATCACCTTTGCCATGTTTAAACCTCAACTTGTTCATAGCCAAAACTATTTTAAATGCCATACAATCATACCCAGCCATGAGGTAGCAATTATATCAAGAGCGTGTAAATGGCAGTTTAGCTCATTCAAACTTTCCCCTTAAATGTCACACAGTTTGCTTATGGTAAGATGGTTAATTGCAACTTTGGCTGACATTGCGTTTGATATATTTGAGATGATTGATTGATCACTATCATTAAAAGATGCTAAATGAAAATCTAAAAAAAAGTTAGATGATCAACTGCTTTACATATATGCAAGCAAATATTCGTAACTAGCTATAAGCATTTTATTTGCCTTAATATTATGTACAACTTTAACTTATTTTAGCTTTTAAAGTTTTGAAATTTTCATTGCTTTTTTTTAAGCTTTAAGATTGCATATTATCTTGCTGTAATAATATGTTTGCAAATTTTGTTTAAGATCTCTAAGTTCAGCTCTTAAAACTTTAACAATTTGTTTCTTGTATGTAATTTTTGTCTCAGTACTTTCAACTTGTATGCCATGCTTTTTAATTTTGCCGTCACTATTACTAATTTATTTCAATACTTGCTGGATGTAACAGCAAGCTGAGAAGTTAAATAGGACAATCTGGTATTCAAACCTTTTTTTTCTAGGGCTTATTTCTCCTCTTGATTCATGCCTATTCATTGTTAACAGAATGTTTGGAAAATAAAGGCTTGTGATTTAGTGGTGATAAATTACTTATGTGCTCAAGTGGTGAATTATCTAAACTACTTAAAACAGTAGTAAGAGAACTATTTGGAGGGACATGATGATAGAAAGATGGGAAAGATTTGTGCAATGCATATACAGGGTTCATTACAAAATTCCTTAAAACGACAACTATCCCTTGTAAAGTTGCAAAACCAACTTTTGCATCTTTTCAAAACCCTAAAGAAATGTGGTTTACAAATGTTTAAACTAAATAATAGTTATAACAAATGACTTGACACTGTTAATGAATAAAAAAGATACATATCTATTTTTACAACAACTGCAAGTTTTGGCAGATAAAAAGAAGTGTGTATTTAAATACTCTTTAACTGTACTAAGAACAAAAATTAAAGTTGCTTATTGTGCCTATTGCCGGGGCACAAAAAGCAACTTTATTTACAAAACAAAATGTAAAGAAAGTCTTGAATAACTACCGAATAATGATATAACATTAAATTATAAACAATATTATACTTTTATTATTAAAAACATTTTCAATAATACTGTATTATTGCGTAATTAAAAAATAATATTTATACACACAGACAAAAATGCCAATGTATACTGACATCATAAAACATGTGATAATATAAAGAGTTTTTAAAATACCATCATACCTATAGCTAGAATTATAGTAATCAACGCTTATGTTTTCAATTTCAATGAAACCAATAAAATTTTAGAAACTATAAACAAGTCACACTAAAATAAATAGTAATTTTCACTTTTAAAATAAAATAAACTAGTAAAAATATACAAACTAATATTAATTAATATAAAAAATCTAATAAACTACTGAAAAAATAAGAAAAAGAAAAAAACATCTTATTGGCAGCTTATTATTATTATTATTATTATTATTATTATATATATATATATATATAATTATATATATATATATATATATATATATATATATATATATATATATATTATTATATATGAAATATATAATAATATATTATTATATATATATACATATATATTATTATATATATTTTTTTTTGCAGTAATTTATTAGATTTTTTATATTAATTAATATTAGTTTGTATATTTTTACTAATTTATTTTATTTAAAAAAAAAACATGTGTATATATATATATATATATATATATATATATATATATATATATATATATATACATGTATATATATATATATATATATATAATTTATACATATATACATATATATATATATATATATATATATATATATATATACATATACATATATATATATATATATATATATATATATATATATATTTATATATATATATATATATATATATATATATATATATATATATATATATATATATATATATATATATATATATATACATATATATATTTATATATATATATATATATTATATATATATATATAATATATATATATATATATATATATATATATATATATATATATATATATATATATATATATATATTATACATATAACATAAATAATTACTAAACTAACCAACTTGTTTGTACCCCTCTTACCACCCACTTACGGAAATCAGAAAAACAGAAACGAGGTACCAAAACTGCTCACTTTTATAGACTATCTGCTCAATAATATTTTTCAATGAAATTTGGTAGGTAGATAAAAAATATATGTAAAAAACTATCTGGATAGGTTTGCAAACTATCTGAGCATTTCTTTGACAATAATTTAATGTGAGAACAACAACCAAGTTTTTAATACAAATAAAAGCAATACAAAAATTACCAACCACACATAAATGTTATATATTAATCAAGTTTAACTATTCTTTTTTTCAAAAATAATCTAAGTTTAGTAATGTTTCTAAACAGAAACGCCACAAAAAAACGTTCGCCTGACGTTACCTAAAAAAAAGTTCAAAAAACCTAGCACAAAATTTTAGTACAAAATTCGGTTCCGTAAAACACGGATTTCCGCGTACCTATATATATATATATATATATATATATATATATATATATATATATATATATATATATATATATATATATATATATATATATATATATATATATATATATATATATATATATATATATATATATATATATATATATATATATATATATATATATATATATATATATATATATATATATATATATATATATATATATATATATATATGTCACTTTCCATGAAATAATCTGAACATATAACATCAGATTTACTCTGTTTTTAATAATCAATGCATTTATAAGGTTTTTGTATTTTTTATTTATCAAGCGAAATCTGTGTTTTAAGCGCACTTATGTTTAACGCAGTTAGTAACCATTAATAATAAAAATATGCGGATGGTGATTTCAACATTTGAAAAGGCACACTTAATATTGTCTCTAACTATTACTTGGTATAACTCGTTTCATTTTGGGATCTGAAATTGAAAAAAGTATGCGAAAAGATGTAAATAAAAATGATTAAATGATATAAAACGAAAATGTAATTTACATAAAAATTAAAAAAATTATGCAAAATAAGGCTAAAAAACAACAAACTTAAGCTGTAAGCTCAAATAAATAATTCCTTAATATCAGAATCAATTAAAATGATAAAACAAATGATAAAACAGCTTTAATAATAGTTTCACGTTGTTAATAAAAAAATATCCTCAAGTGAAGTCGTTAAAGCGCAAAAAAAAAAAAAAAGTCGTTAAAGCGCGAAAAAAATAATTAGTTTAAAAAAAAGTTAATTAGAAAAACCGGCTCATTCATAGCTTAATTTTTAAGCATTCAAGATTGTACCAAACTTTTATTATAATGTATTTCTTCATTTTCATAGCACTTGTTCAATTTTCAGTTGCTTTGTTCAATTTTCAGTTGACTTAAATTTGTTAAAAAAATATATTTCTTGAAGACTTGTGGTGCCCCCAAACGATTGGTGCCCAAGGCAAATGTCTTGTTTGGTTAATCCAGGCCTGATTATAGATTCCAATAGATGATAAAATGGATCTAAAGTTTATGGTAATCTCAGAAGAATTTAATTTATGCATCTTTGGAATTTTATAAATACGAGCAGGATGGGATCCAGACTGATAAATTTTGTTATATGTAGAATCATTGAAAAAATCTTTTGATTCTAAAATTTTAAAGTTGAATTTCTCTATTTATTTTAACATCTTTCTTAAGTTGTTTGAATTTTGTTTTTTATATCCATTTAGGGATATTTCTTTATATCTAATATCTCTAATATCAGGCCGACGACATGGGTTATGAAGTGGAGGAACTATTGTCAATTTCTAAAAAAAGTCCTGTATGTCTAAAAATTTATAAATAAAAAAGAAAAGTCCTTTAAATTAAAAGCGAGGAAGAGGAGGGCAGGGGTGGGAAATCAGTGCCCTCTGCCCCCTCGCCGGTCCTGAATATGACAAAGACGTTACCTTTATCTGCTTTTAAAATAATAAAATCCGAATTACTTGAAAGTTTTTATCAGTAGTTCATGTTTTTTCAGAGTTTCCTGAAAAGAACGATAATTATAAGTATAAAAATTTTCCACATGGGAAAGCTCAGCTTTTGTTTCCCTGAAGTTTCCCTGAATCTTTATTATTTACGTCTAAGATATTTTGCTGTCTTTTTTTTTTCGTAGGAGAGCGAGGCGCTAAACAAATTAAAATTGAATTTTTTTATTGCACTCATCAACAAAAAAAGGATGACAATAGCAACTCTAAAGTAAACAAACAAAAACTACACATAATGTGTGTGTTGCTTCAGGTAATGATTTTTACGTAACAAGTATTATTCTAGTATATTTAAATTTTTTATATAGATTGATGCAATGTTTCAATTATTGAAATCATTAAATTGTAAAAAATGTTTATAATATTTAGTTTAAACAATATGTTACATTATTTATTATTTATATTTAATTATATAAACATTTTATAAACTAAATTTCGTAAACTACGTTTACGATAAAAATTAAATATATTATTGTAAACATAGTTATTATTAAGCAAAAATCATAAAATTCACTGGTAATAAAATTTTTTTTGGAGCTAAGTGTCGGTGTATCTACATTTTAAATTAATATTTTCTCAATTTGTTATATGTTGTCATCAGTATTTACTATTAAAACATATGTCATATTTATTTGTTAAATGCATCAGTGGATTAATACCTTTATTATAGAATAATCAAATTATAACAGTTTAACAATAATAGTGTTATTCAGAAGAATGTGGTCATTAGGTTCAAGAGACAAATAAGAGAAAAAATTCTTTGAAATAATTTATGTCTTAATCTTGGAAGAAGTAATAAGTTTAAACTTATAAAGGAGAGGAGAATTGTAATTGGTAATGGTATCATCATCATCATCATCATCATCATCATCATCATCATCATCATCATCATCATCATCATCATCATCATCATCATCATCATCATCATCATCATCATCATCATCATCATCATCATCATCATCATCATCATATCATCTTCATCATAATTCATCATAATTCATCATAATTCATGATTATTATCATCATCAACATCATCATCATCATCATAATTCATCCTTATCATCATTTTTTTATCATCCGTGTATAGCTTTTAATATGCTTGTTAGAAGCTATTAAAGATTTTCGAAAAGTTTCTAGAACTTAACTTTTGAGATTCATTTGAGAATAAAGGACCCTAGTCAAGGATATTATTTTTTTAGATTGACTTTTTGTAATATAATTGCAAAATCAAATTTTATATTATAAAAAATATGTCAGGAAGAGTTAAAAAAAAGAATTGTTCTCTTGAAATAAATGAAAGTGATGATTATAATTGATAATAGCAGTTGTATATAAAAAAGAAAATCATGGGATGATGTTCCACTGCATAAAATGTTTGAAACATTTTATGCAGTGGAACATGAATTTAGACAAGCATAGAAGCTTTAAGCTTCTTTGCTTGTCTAAATTCAGGAGTTTACATAAGCCCATATTATTTATAGTTTTTTCTTTGGCATGTAAATGTTGTTTGAAAGTCTCCCCTTTAATAAACTTTTCTTAAATTTTATAGTATGCAATTTTTTATGTCTTTAGTTACTTGCTCATTAACTATGTTTTTTAATTTTTAAAATGTATCTCTAAGTATATCATAATCACTTTAGTAGTGGCTATCTGTGTCTTTGCTGGGAGTTGCAAACCTTTGTATAAAAGTGTGTGGTCGCTCACCTTATATGACCACACATATAATACTTTATTTTGACAACATGGCCATGGTTCTTTGTAAGTTTTGACAATTTGTGCTTTTGATTTCAATTTAATTGATTCCATAATTATGATTAAACTGCTACAAAATTTCCAAGTACTTCATTGCAACGTAATAAAAGGCGATCATTGAAAAAAATATTCAAATTAAAGTTTAAGGCAAAATGAGTACGGAAGCTATCGAAAAATCATTACAAACAGTTTTATAATGGAAATAAAATTTCTAATAAAAAAATTATTTATATTACTAAGCAAAATAATTACAATTATCTTGAAATTTTTTTTTTTTTGTAAACATTGCTTCCAACAAGGCTGCAAGCAACCACTGATTAGTATTGGAAGTTACTGGAAGAAAAAATATGAAAATTGTAGAGCAAGATAATGATTGACAGACGACTTAAAAGATTGCAAATTATATGAATGAGGAAAGCAAGATGAAGGAAGCGAATTCCAAATAACTGATGTTCGAGGAAAAAAACTAGACGAGTAAGAGTTTTTGGAGCACTTAGGAACAGTAACAGAAAAAGGATGAGACTTAATTGAATGACGAGTAACACGAGAATGATTTTTAGTAGATGGCACAAGAGATGCTAGCTCTTTAGAGCAGTGCCCGTTATAGTATTTGAAGAAAAGAGAAAGAGAAGCAACATTACGATGATGTGACAGAGGTTGAAGGTTGGCTGCAAGAGCAGGTCCAACTATGTTTACGATGCTTTAATATAAGATTTAATATAAGGTTTCCAAGAAAGATCAGAAGTAAGAGTTAATCCTAGAAGATGAAGGGTAGGAGACTCATCGAGTACATTACCGTTCATAAATATAGGAAGGTCTAAATTATTGCGATAACGATTGGCTGAAAAAAATTGAGTTTTGTCTGAATTAAAGTTCAATAGCCACTGTGAGCCCCATGCTGTATCAGAAGTGAGATCCTTTTCAAGCTCAGATGCCCCCTGCAAGCAATCAGAGGGAGTTGGCTTCTTATCGTGACAAGAATAAATGGTAGTATCATCAGCGAACAATGCCACCTTAGATGTGAGAATATCTGGGAGATCGTTAATGTAAATTAAAAAGAGTATAGGGCCAAGGATTGAACCTCGAGGAACCCCTGAGGTTACAGAATAAGATTAAGAAATAATTGCATAATTATTTTTTTAACTATCCAAGGGTGCGACTGTTGTCTTTTTTTAATGAACATCAACTTACGTATCTTTATTTATTGACGAATGTCTATTTTAGAAGATTTATGTCAAATAAGGGAGTTTTATTTTCAAATAATTTTTATTCTAGTTAATAAATATATTCAATTTTCATTTTTTTATATTTATATTTAATATATTTATAAAAAATAAGGTAAGTTTATTAAATTTTTATTTTTCCAAAACTTTTTTTTTATGCATTTGCAAAGTGAGCACAAATTAATGATAAAAAAAACTTTTAAAAGCATTTTCAATATGCAAACAAACATTAGTTCACTTAAAGGAAAATAAGAAAATTTAAAAAAAACCAAGGATGTAAAATTTTATTTATAATAAATGCATTTGCTTTAAATTTTTATTTTTAAATTACCTAAAAGAAAGCTTAAGCATGATTTATATTGCTTTTTTCAATAAAAGCAAGCAATCATAATGTTTAAGCATGGTTTCTTTTAAAGTAATTGCAAAAGCATTCATTTTGAAGTAAAATTTGGCATGGTTTTGTAAGCGCATGCAAAAACCATGTTAAAACATAATTATTTTCTTTAATAGTATACTTAGTTATTTTACTTAAAAGTAATGGTGTTAAAAAAAGTAATTATGTTTTGGCATGGTTTTTTTAAGTCTCTGAAATTAATTTTTTTTATAATAAATAAAAAACTATCAATCGCAAAATTATTTAGAAAAAAATTGCTAAAGTAATATGTTGGTTTTGAAAATTTTTAATTAAACGCCAATGTTTGCATTGGAAAATTTAAGAAACATGTTTTTTTTTTGTCTTTTTTTTTAACAAATGTGCGCACGTTTGTTAATTTGTTGCACCCTGTATCCTATAAACTTTTTAATAAAATTTAAAATTTTCACCACAAAATTTTATCAAATTTTATTTCACTTTTAACAGCCTAGTTTACTTACATTTCTAAACATTGTGCTGTGTTAAATATATTAATTTCAAAAAAAAAAAAATTCAAAATCTAAAGGAGAGGGGGCAGATGCCCTCATGGACCTTCCCTTCACCATGGATCCGCCTTTGTATAAACCTATTTATTCATGGGAGGGAATAATAAAGTATGTTAGGGCTGTAGTAATTCTTTTTTTAACTTTTGCTTACAATTAAGTTTACATCAATGAAAAATGTTTTAATTTTTTCAGGTTTTTCTGCTATTTTGTTATTCTTTAAAATTTTAATTTTTTTAGTTTAATTTAGTTTGATTATTTTTGTTTTAGATTTTTTTCTCTTTAGTGGATTATTTAGTTTAATTTAAGTCATTTATTTACTTATAGATATATAGAAAACATGGCGTTTTTATCACATAAATATACAGGCAGTTGTTCTGGTTTTAGTTTACCTATATTTAAGAACCCATTGCATTTAACAAAATCATTTGACATTCTCTATGCAATGTGGAAACAAAATTTACTTTGTGATGTCACCATATGTGTTGGAAACAAATCTATCGAAGGTGAGATAAAGTTTTATTTCTTTTTGAAGATAAATTTTAGTCAAGCAAGAATGTAGTAAATATAAATTTTTTGGGTAATTAAACCTGACTTTTTAACTAAATCTAGGGAAAATTTATACTTTCTAAACCACCCTTCTTAAAGGAAAAGAAGGACCCAGAACATTTTGTAAGATTTTAAACCAGTTTCCAAAATACTCTATTTTGGATGTTCCACTGCATTTCATATATTTATGTGGTAGTGGTGTAGTGGAAGAGTGCTTGTTTCAAAAGCGAGGGGTTCAGAGTTTGATCCCCGCCAAGTCTCTGGTAGTATTGAGCTCAAGTTGTTTCTCAGTGCAGCAGCCTTGCTTGTCAAGGTTTGTGTTTCAGAGTTATAGAGTTGAGACAGGTAAAAACCACAATTAAACCCTCCTTGTCTGTATTCTCCGCGTTAAGAAGGTGAATTAACATACTTATAAAAGTGTGCTTATTAATAAAACTACATTTTAATTGAAGTAGAAAAGCATGTAGAAATACAGAGTGGATATTCAAATAATATTTAAATTGCTGATAGAGCTAAAATTTCCACTATCAAGAATATTTTTTCTTGGCAAAAGCAGAAGTCTCAAATGGAAATATATCTTTTAATAAATTGACTGTGGAATAAAAATAAGCTCTTCTTAAAGGGATTCCAAAGTGCCAAGACAATTTGTGTTCATATTAAAGAGAATGATAAAAAAAAAAATGTTTGGGCTTATTTTTTTTTTATAAAACAAAATAATAAATGTGTACCAAGAAAAACTTACTTTGTTGTTTTACTCAACGCCATCTCCATGTTAGCCAATTGCTTTAAGTTTATATTTTATAGGAAGCTAAACAAAAGAATGTTTTTTTATAGAGCTCTTCAAGATAATATTATATAAACACTCTTAAATATAATAAATATATAAAAAAGATGTTGATCACCTTGTTATATTTTCTGAAACTTTTTTCTTTTTATCTAAACAATGTGAACTTTTTTCTAGTTTATCTAAGACTTTTATCGCTATTACGATTTTGTTCTCCTATCAAAATGACAATTTACAAATTCTTAAATTTTTAATTATTATTATTATTTATTATACTGCAACAAGTATAGCTTGTGTAACCAATTCTGGTTTTGGCGGCCTACAAAAAAATTTACAAATTATTTTAAAATAAGTTAATTAAATGGGAGTAAAGCCAATTTCATCGTTAATCATCTTTAAGGTTTTCTGATTCAAAAAATTTATCTTATCTTGCTTTGTAACTATTTACAGTTGTGGCACTGATTATGTTTTAATTTATTCCAAGTGTTCACCACATGATTTGTAAAAATCTGATGACGCTGTTCATTGTTTTTAATTCTCTAACTAGCTTAAAGTTATGACCTCGCGTTCGACTTAGATTAAAATTGTTGAATAATTTTCGGTAAACAACATCATTTATTAGAAATATTTGCCAAATTTTTAATTTTAAGTTGAAAATAATAATAGAACTTACACTTAATAAATTTTCAGAAAGCTTTTTTTATTAATTAAAGCGATAATGTTTTGTGGCATTAATTCAAAATTGATGGCAATTAAATTGTTAATGTGTGGCAGCGCACATTAAAAAACATATTATATTTAATATTTTCCAGTTTATATGTTGTATTTACCAAGTATTTTATGTTAAAATCTGTCACTTAACATTAGAATTTTTTTTTATATTTTGATTCACTCCCAACAAGGCAGCAAGCAACCACTATAAAGTTGGGAGTTACTAGAAAAAAAGAATAGAGTTATAGAACAAGGAAATGGTTGACAAAAAACTTAAAAAGGTGAAGGTTGTATGAATCAGGAAAACATGAAGATGGAAGAGAGTTCCAAACTGTTGAGGTGCGGGGAAAAAAACAAGAAGAATAAAAGTTTTTAGAGCATGCAGGGACAGATACAGTAAAAAAGTTGAGACTTTGCTGAATGATGAATCATGTGAGAGTGAATTTTCGTTAATGGAACTTGAGATGATAGCTCCTTTTAGCAGTGACCATGATCAAGCCTGACTGGGAAGCATGTGTGGTCGCAACCCTTGTATGTCCATGCCTAAAATCATTTTTTTAGACAACTTGACCACGTTTTTATAAAGTAAGCATTTTTAGAGTTCACTGCAAAATAAAGCTATAAGGAACTAGAGAATAAAACAGCAATACTCGAAGAAAAGAACTTAAGACTATACGAAATAGAAAATCTAAATAAAATAAGCTAAAATAAATTAAATAATAAAAAAAGGAAATTGTTGTAAAAAAAAAAATAATACACCTAAATATTTTACTCTTTGTTTTCTCATTTTTAGGGCACTTGTTACTTTTCACTACCAAAATTTATAAGTCAAGGAAAAAAATAGATATGAATATAACAAAAAATAAAAGATTTTTTGATATACAATTTTTTCGCAACTTTTTTCAGTCAATATATAAAGGAAATACTTTATAAATTGTGCTAGAAACATGAACAATTTTTAAATTTGTTTTTCAGATGTCTTTACTAAACTTTACTGTTTTTATCAATGAGGGGAAAGCGAGAAAACTAATTGCTATTTATTTGTAAAAATTTTTTTTTTTTACAAGTTTTTCATGTAAAAAATGAAACGATGCTGCAAAATTTTGTGGGCTAATCCATTGTTAATTTGCTGAACTTTCTTAATGAAATTTTTAGGAGACTGTTTAAAATTTTTTTTTAAGTTTTTAAATACAATTTTTTAAAAAAAACAGTTGTCATATTCATTATCTCTATTAATTCGTATTAACATTGGAAATTGGGCAATATAAAAGAAACAATTTCAGACATGCATCAAATGCGGTAAATACATTCATTAAAGAAACAATATTATTTATTTATTTAACTTATTTCCTCATTAACAAAATTTATTATTCAAATAATATTTTTTACAAATGAATAACAACTTATTTTCCTATTATATAAGTATTGAGAAAAAAATGTCAAATATAGCAACAAAATTTCTTATAGTTTTAGCGTACATAGCAAATATTTTTTTCTTAATTGTATGGATTGATAAAAATCGTGCATAAATTGCATATCAAAACTTTCAATTATTGTTTAATTGTTATAAAAAATGTTTTTTTCAACAACAACTCTAAAAAAAAGATTTTAAAAGTTGTATAAAAATTTTATAATTTTTTTTTTTTTTTTAATTTACTTTATTTAATTATTAAATTTTCTAGTTTATATAATTAAACTTGATATTTCGTTTAATTTTGTTTCCTTTTTTCAAGATTATTTTTTTTTTAGTAGATAAGTTTAGCTTTTTGCTGGGAATTATTGAAATGCTTTATAAGTTAAAAGATGCCAACTGCCCTGGTCAGTTTGTCTAAAAAAATTACTTTAAATGTGGACAAACAAGGTGAGTGACCGCACGCACTTCCTGGGAAGGCTTGCATGATTGTACTTGTAGAAAAGAGAAAGAGATGCAACTTTATGATGGTGAGAAAGAGGCTCAAGCATAGCAAATAGAGCGGGTCCAACTACGTTTAGAATGCGTTTTTGGACCTTGTCTAGAAGAGAAAGAGATTCATTAGAAGAACCAGCCCAAATATGACAATAATATTCTATACAGGGATAAATAGGAGATTTGTTGAGGTAGGGAATGGAATCAGGAGAGACAAAATAATGAATACAATAAAGAGAAGCAACCTTAGCAGATGCTAATTTAGCAATCGATTGTATATATGGATTCCATGAAAGGTTAGTAATAAACGATAATCAAAGGAGATGTAAAGAAGACTAAAGAGGGTTGCCATTTATTAATATGGGAATGTTGACAGTACTGCAATAGTTGTTTGCAGTAAACGACTGAGCTACTTTAGATGTAAGGTTGTCTAGAAGGTCATTAATGTAGATATGAAACAAAACAGGATCAAGGATAGAACCTTGTGGTACCCCAGAAGTTACTGGAAATAAAGAAGAGTGTTGGCCTTTTGGATTTGATTTCGATTTGACAATTTAAAAATCACCAAAATTGATAATAAAAAGTTTTTCAACGATTTTAATTTTACAATTGATTCGATAATGCTACATATTTTTTCAATCTTAATAATTGTTAAATTTTAAAAATAATAATTGTTCAATTTTAAAAATAAAATAACCAGGGGTGTGGAGTCATAAAAAAAAAGTAACGACTCTGACTCCAGTTGTTGAAATTTTTTGAGTACAACTCTGATTCCAACTCCAACTCCAAAGCAAAATTTTTGAAAAATTATTTGAATTCTTTAAAAAGTAAGTTGAAATTTTTTTTTTTGACAAATTTATGAAACATTCTTTGATGTTTAGTATGAACATAAGGTTACTTGAATGTTTTGTACATGCACATGCAATACCAAGAAATTTTACTTTTGGAGTTGGAGTCGCGATATGTTTTAGCAACTCCGACTTCGACTCCGGTAAAATTGTATCAAGTCAAAAAGTCAAGTACCAATATCCTTGTTTTTCATTATTTCTGCATCACTCTACAACTTTGTTTATCTGTTTGTTTCTTTCATCTCAGTTAAAATGCTTTACAGCTGCTTCAGATTTATTTCTTGGCTTTTTAATTACAGAATTTGCATTTGCTGTTACTCTTAAGCTAAATTTTGGTTTCATTTTTATTTTTATCTATAATAACGAACATTTTAAACTATTAAAATAATTACTGTGCAAATAAAGTAAAAACACAAAACAGCAATTTACTTATTTTCAAGTCTTTTTTTAAAGTTGCAAAATAAGAAGGAGTTGGTAAAAGAAATTGAACTGTTATAAGAATTACTTTTTAATTAAGAAGAGATATTTCAAAGAAAGATATTAGCAATTAATTTTTCAAAGAAAGAAATTAAGAATTAATTTTTCAAAACAAACTTTATAATATATAGGGGAGAAAAAAATAAAGTATTATTGAAATAATTTTAGAAAAAGAGATTCTTAACGCTAATTAAAAAAAAGCAATATTTGGGTGAAATTTCATAATTTTTC